TGGCAAAAACTTCACAATTTTACTCATTTCGTGATTGTATTCAATACTCAACGCCTTTAATGCCGACATTTGCCACAAACTAGCCATCAGTATATCAATGACTTTCTCATTACAGTTATAGGCAATACTGTCGAAGCTCTGAGTTGTCAATCTCTCTGTTGTGTATCGCTCTATGGTGTGAACTAATTCTTATTTTTTGGCGGTTTCCCTATACCTGTAATGTTAAAAACATTCTCTGTTGTCAACTTCTATGGTGTGTATATCTCTATGCTGTGGACACATTTAGCAATATTTTGTGTTATTTTCCGCTCTGAGTTGTGTAAAATGTCACATAATAATACTAAAATGGTAAATTATATTTAATTTTTTAAAGAACATAAGCGCCAATATATAAATTATTACCTACTATTATTATAAAGTGAATCTAATATTGAAATCAAAATTATCTCACAAAATAAAGAGATTAGTCAATTATTGTATAATGAATCCTTAGATGGCTACCTGTATTTGATGAATGAATATTATATTATAAATTATTATGTGCTACTAATTAGTATCTTAATCAATTATCGATTACTATTAATGAGAAATTGTATTGTATATAAGGTTTTTATTAATTATATCGAAGTAATTTGGTGAAAATTTTCTACTAATTCGATTTAACAAGTTTAATTATTTACTAAAAAATCTAGATAAAATTGATAAAATTAGCATAAATTTCACAGATAATATGAATGAGATAATATACTAGAATTCTTGATTAATTGAAACATAATATCCAATATTCAAACCCCGATTGCCAGTTATTGGTAAAGTTGGCAACATTCTTTTTTGTTGTTGACATTCCCTGTTGTGAACATTCCCTACTGTGTACAGATTTGGTCTGCATTAGGTCATACACAACTCAGAGCTTCGACAGTAGTTATATCAATAGATTTAATACAATGTGAATAGTTATCGACAAATGCATTCATGCCATCAATAAACTCACGATCAGTTAAACATAAGTAAGGTTTGGCTATTTTACTGAATGAATCAACATTTAAAGCCTGGCTAACTGTACGGGGACACATAATCAAGTCAAGTGTGACATGTAACTTAATTGATTGAAACTTATTAAAACGGATTAAATTGATTGCATTGGTGTATAGCATAGTAAAGCTAATTGTTTTCAATTGTTTGACAAACTTTGCAAACAATGCATCCATTTCTTCGCCATTAATAATACACTTAATGTGAATACTATCGACTCGTTTGCAGTGTTTTATAATCAAATCGATGGCCGTTTTTGTGGGAATTTTTGTGATTTCAATGCAATTAATGTTTTGACACTTTTTGACAATCGTTGCCAAATAGATGTGAATCCACGAGATATCGCATATAAGCGCCGTTTGGGTCTCATATATAACTCGTTGCCACTGTTTGGACAGACATTCATATCTAAATCGCTGACCAAATGATAGGTAACTCAACAACAGTTCACACAAATCGTCGCCAAATCTGTCGAAACTATCTTTACTATAGTTTTGAGACATAATTGTCACGAAAATCACAAATCAATTGAAAAACAAATTTAAAACAAAGTTTTTTGTTGTTAAATATATCGTGAAGTTGTGGACACAAACTCATACCAACTGATAGTCCACACAAACACACAGTATTTATACCCAAAATATGTTAAGCATTTAATTACTTGTATTATAGCTAATATTATACGTTATAAACAAGTCATAAGATTTCAATTTATTTAATAAACAAATTAATTTATGAACCAAATTATACCAAATATTTTGCAAAATATGTTTGAGAATTGAAAAGCTTTTAACGTCTTGTGAAGTGGTTATTGAGTCCAAAAATAAACTGATTATAAGAGGATTACTGGGAAAGGGATACAAAAATAACATTAGTTTAGTGTACAGTACAGGTGTTCATAACCCGGAGTTCAATGTTCTAAACGCTAAGAGATTATAAACTTTTGGTTTTATATTTATTTATTTATATTTATTAATTACTTAATATACAATAAATCACATTTTAATTTGCAATCAATACAATTTATGGCCACAACTTGAATACAATATTTGTTGAACTTTTATGTTTAAATTGAAACTATTTCTGTCATAAACTCAATGTCTTTGTGAACGAGTATTGGGTGTAAAATACAGTGCAGTATTGGACAGAGATTGGAGGCACAGGTGTGTCTAAGGATAGGAATTCCGGAAATACTATTTAAATCTAACTCACAATTAAAACAATGAAACATTTGAAAGCATTTGTTCTAAAACTCAAAGACAGGACTTTCTGTCCGTTTGTGTCAAAAGTGCGCCAAATATTGCATTACATTGTATTTTGAAGTGTCAAACAGTTATCATTACAATCATTAATAAATACATTTTAATTTACAAAATGTGTTCAAAAGTTGAGGAAGTGTTGATTGAAATGAAGTGTGAATTAAATAAATTAAATGAATTGAAGAGTTTATCGAAAAGTTTAGATAAAATGAAGTGTTTTTTGTCACAAAATGAAAGTGTTTTGGGATTGAATGCGAAAATGCAGTGAATTTGTCAATGAATTGCAATTCAATTGATTTGAATTCATGTAAAATAAGTGATAAAATGCTTTCCAATCACAACACCATTAATACACTCAACACTTATAACTATTTCCTCTGTTTTTGGCCTAAATGTCAATTCAAAACATTATATGAAAAGGATTTACGACAACATCAATTAATACATTCAACAATTAAACAGTTTAAATGTAATTATAATAATTGCAATAAAGTATTCAAACGGAAATCGGAACTTACTTCACATAAAAATATCGTTCATTTAAACGTGAGATATGTATGCGATTGGAGTGAATGTCACAAACAATTTAAAAGAAAACGAGATTTACTTCAACACAAATGTTATATTCATTTGAATGAAAGTCGATTCAAATGTAATGAAGAAAATTGTGGCAAAAGTTTCGCAACAAAACAATATTTAATTCGACACAAAAAGTTCGTTCATTTGAACGAAAGTCTGTTTGCATGCGATTTGCGTGAATGTAATAAAACATTTAAACATTTATCTAGTTTTAATTATCACAAAAATAGGTTTCATTTAAACGTGAGATATGTATGCGATTGGAGTGAATGTCGCAAACAGTTTACATCAAAACAGACTTTACTTCGACATAAAAGTACTGTTCATTTGAATGAAAAGCCATTTAAATGTAATGAAAAAAATTGTGGTAAATATTTCACCCAAAAAGCACATTTAAATCGACACTACCAGCGCATACATACTTCAGAAAAATTATTTGTTTGTCATTACAATGAATGCCTCAAAGATTTTAAGATAAAACGAGATTTAAATGAACACTTGAAAAGACATCGTAATGTTTAGGTTTACCCTGTTACTGATTATTAAATTCACTTATAACTCGCGTTTAAAAATTCATAGACAAATAAAATGTGTTTTTATTAACTATGATAAAGCGTATGCTGTTAATATATTAATAATGTACAAAATTGTATCAAAATGTTCATTTAAATGTGAGATATGTATGCGAATGGAGTGAATGTCGCAAACAGTTTAAATTGAGTGGCACTGCATGTCATCCCCACTCACATCCCAACCCAATTGCAACTCTCGAGTGGTTCTTAAGGGTTACTGAAGACATAACACATATTGTGACACATTTACCACACATTCATACATTCATTAACAAGCATTTGAATGGAAAGCAATAGTTTTGCAAACTTTTCTCCACAACAACCGCAGTATCTGTCACTCGATCTGGAGTTCAATTCATCCCAACTCTCACTTATAGCACACTCTATATAATGGTCTCATAAATCAATTATACCTCGAATTAGGTCTCTATCACAAGCAGTAGTGCAGCAGTCAATTGGACTCAAACTAAATCCTAATTAATGTTATTATCCGTACATTGAAGACTAAATTAGAGATCAAAAACATAGATATAATCATTAAATCTATTATTGAGCTCTCGATCTCTGGAAACAACAAAATCTGAATTCAAAACTTTTGATTCAAAAGTCAAACCAAAGCTTTCGTTAACGTTAAGCAAAGCATTCAATTTGTAATACAAAAGCGCCGTTAGGCTGAAGGCTTTCCTATCAGTTTGCATTAGTGTCTCATCAATCACATCGGATATCGTGTCTGAAGACTGCGAGACCAGAGTGTGAGGTGTTGTGTGACATATGGCGAGTCAGTCGACTCTTATTCTTCGCAAACAACTCAATGACCTGAAGAAGAATCCGGTCGACGGGTTCAGCGCCGGACTCGTGGATGAGAACAACCTGTATAAGTGGGAAGTGATGATCGTTGGCCCCCCGGACACCCTATACGAGGGCGGAATGTTCAGAGCTGTGCTCGACTTCCCGGACGACTTCCCGCAGAAGCCGCCTCGGATGCGCTTCACGGGTGACATCTGGCACCCAAACATCCATCTGACGGGTGAGGTCTGCATCTCAATCCTACACCAACCCGGAGAAGACACCTTTGGCTACGAGAAGGCCAGCGAGCGCTGGACACCCGTCCACACCGTCGAAACTATACTCCTGTCCGTCATATCGCTGCTGTCAGACCCCAACGACGACTCCCCGGCCAATGTGGACGCAGCCAAACAGTTCAGACACGACTACCAGGCCTTCAAGAAGCGGGTGTCGCTGTGCGTCAAGAAAAGTCAGGAAATGGCATGAATTCATCGCATCCTCTCATCCCTCTTCGCATTCAACACATATTTCTTCGTTTCCCTCTTTCGCTGCTATTTATTCACAATTACTTACAAATAGTTTAATAGTATGTCTTATGTCTTGAAATATAATTTTATCAATAAAACAAATATCTCTCAATTTTTTGAATTTTTTGAATTTTGTATTGGATATTGAATTCATTAATTATAATATTTCTTAACCAAAATATTATTAAAATTCATAATTTATTATTTATATTGACGTTAAGTCTAAATCTAATAATAAGGTAAAACCTAATCTCACTAATAAGTTTAAATATAAATGCACAAAGCTAAAAATAAATGTACCGGTAAGTTACTGTATTTAGTAAGTATCACTTATAAACATATGCCATTAAATTAATATTAAATTTTATAATTTATTAGTATTGATATTTAATACTGTATAGATATTAATATACTCTGTATTATAAATATTAATTTAATATTAATGCCAAATGCGATTTTAATTTTGTTTATCAGAATTTGAATGAAATATTTTCAAAACTGATTTCAAATATACAGTATTATAAACTTAGAATATTTCAATGATTTGAATAATTATAATCTCTTAATATTTTATTAAATGAGTTAAACGTCACACAATTCCTTGTATTACTTTTGCAAATTGAAAGACTTATGCAACACATATGGCCTTCAAATTATCAAAATATGTTACTTTCGGACAAAAAAATAATACTTTAAATCACAAATACGTTTAACTAATTCTCATGAAATAATTTGCAAATAAAATTTATGATAAAAATATTCTATTATTACCATTTAGTTACCATATAGTGAGTGTAAAAACTTGCATTATGTTTTCGTACAGAATTAAAATTATTGCACAATATTTTGAAAATATTGTTTTCGCTTAATTATACTGCTTACAAAAATAATAACAACCAAAATAAGTAAATTTACTAGAGACTAATATATTTAGAAGTTAAATTTGGTTTTTTAAAGAAATTGTATCTATAAATCGTGTTTAAAATTTTAAATAATTATTATAAATTCAATTTTTTTAGTTATTATATGTCACAACAGCTAATAATAATTTTATTGCTAGTAACTATTACGTTATGAACGTTAAACTATTAAATTTCTAAATGATATAATTAAAAATAATAAAAATTAATTTCGTAAAGAAATGAAGTCATTGAGCACAATATCTCACTATTTATACACTATTTCTCGGTTGACTATCACACAAATATTCTTTATAAATCAAAAACAAAATTATTAAGTAATTTAAAAATATTAGTAAAGAAAATATAACTATACATTTTAAATTTAATAGAATTATAAAACTTAAAGTAATTACAGACTCACATACATTAAATTTTATTAGACTTAAACTAACTTATGATGTACTGTATATCTATAAGCTTATATGAAGTGGTTTCTCCATTTCAAAATTTAAGACATTTTTATTGCCTTTATTCATGTGATTGAATTTACTCTTAATTCATAAAATTCAAGTATATTTTGTCGTGTTTTATGGGAGCTAATAATTATTAGTTAAATGTAATATCAAATATATTATGTTATGCATAAAACGAAAATCATTAAATTTATGTCAGAAATGATTGTTATTAATAACACTAATTGAAAATTTCCCAAAATGTGCGTTAATTTTCATTTTGCAATATTGATAGCAATTACTGATTTCATACAATACTTTTCCTCATTTCAATCAGAAATATATCTGAAGTCTTATTAAAAATACTCAATAATTTTTATAGACTATAGCTTTTTGTAGTCATTAAACCAATTATGAGGCAACATTTGAGGCAACATTTAAAACGATAATTTCTTCACCATTTGGGTTATGAGAGAAATTTAGTGAAATTGCTTCCCAATCGAGAATTCGGTAAATATTCACATAATTCATTAAAAAGACAAAATCACAATAATTGTTATCTTAACGATAAAACTAAATACACATAAAATTTAATACAGAAACGCGAATTCGCATCCATTGACCAATAAAACGGGTCTCAAAAATACAAATTAAAATACATTTTTTATTATATTTACAAATTGTCTACATTTCAAAATGTTTTGAATTTTTGATGAGATCCACGGCATGTATTTGAATATATTTGACAAAAATTCACAAAGTTTTTGAAAATAAATTGAAAGTAAAGAAGTAAAGATAATGTCCATAATTTATGAGCAAAAGTATTGCACAACAAATGGTATGACAAGTAGTAAAGATCGGAAACTGAAGAGAATGTTTACCATAAGAAAGAAAAGGAGGAAGAATTGTGATAATAATTTTGGGCATTAAATGTATATTTAGATGTATAGAAAGCAATCATAAGGCGAGTGATAATGAAAATTTAATTTTGGTTCGCAATCAGTTCCAGTGGTGTTTGTGGTAAATCCATGAGAAAACATATTATGAGCACATTTGATGAAATGGTATAATGGGAGGACCCAAGGACAGCCCCATCACCACAACAAGAAACTCATTGCTAGATTGAAAGCCTGAACGCCTGGTCGCGAATGAGAACTCAGGTGTACTCAACACTTATGATAGTATTTCATAGCAATCGCTGCAAACGATTACAAAGTTTTCCAAAACCTGAAGAGAACGGCTTTTTGTGAGGAAGTTATCACTTGTATTGAGTTGTATTGAGTGTATCATAAGTTTTTGGTGAACTTGTTCTCTCTCTGCGCTCTCTCTCTCTCTCTCTCTCCTCTGACGCTCTTCTGTACTGTTCTGTAGTTCTGTACGCACTGTAAGACTATACTCACTCTCCACTGACTACCTGTGCTCTGCCTCTGCAGATGTTTTATATTAAATCATAAGAAAGAGAGAGAAAAGAAACGCATTAATTGGCAAAAGAGATGGCGATCGCAGATTCCGAAGAGGAGACCATCATCTATCCCAACGAGGAATACAAAAGAGATGCCCACATATCCAGTCTCGAAGAATATCGACGAATGTATAAGCGATCCATCGAAGACCCCGAGGGTTTCTGGACAGACATCGCCAAAGACTTCTACTGGAAGTGTGCGCCGAAGAATGAGTTCTTGAAATACAATTTCGACATTTCCAACGGACCCATTTCCATCAAGTGGATGGAGGGCGCCGTCACCAACATGTGCTACAATGTCTTGGACAGGATTATCGACAACGGATTAGGCGATCGTATTGCTTACCACTGGTAAAGTTTTTCTCAAACTTTTACAGAACTTTGTTTTTTTCAAAATACCATTTCTTACTATTTATTTGACACACATTTCTCGTAAACTGAATACGAATCTATGCAATTCGCTAACCTATTAAGCAATTCTCTGCTTTCATTACTTTCAATAACAATAATTATAACATAATTTTTATGAAATATATTTTCTTTATTCAATCCATAGGGAAGGCAATGAACCAAACAATAGACGACAAATCACTTACAATAATCTTAGGCGAGATGTCTGTAAATTTGCAAATGTCCTCAAGAGTAAAGGCGTGAAAAAAGGCGACCGAATAGCTATTTATATGCCCGTCACCATTGAGTTGGTCACAGCAATGTTGGCCTGCGCTCGTATCGGTGCTATACATTCAGTGGTGGTGAGTGTGTCTCCTATTTAGTCATAATTTAATTGTTTTTAGTCTAAAAATATACATTATATTGAGTGCACTCAACATAATTGTGAAAATTCTTGATTAAATTAAGTTTAAAAATAACCGTAAGTTTGAATAATGAGAGACTGACATCATTTGCACAGTTCGCTGGGTTTTCGGCTGAGGCCCTCTCAGATCGTATATTAGATGCCAATTGTGTGCTCTTAGTTACGTCTGATGGCGCATACCGGGGCACCAAATTTATACCATTAAAGGATATATCGGACGCAGCCTTAGCCGCCTGTAGACAAAAGTAATCATAACTTTCATTCTTCAATATAACCAGTTCTGGGAACAGATGTTTAAAAATTATAAAATTATAAATTCAATTGAAGGGGTCATAGAGTGATAGCATGTATTGTGAACCGACACCTGAACCTGGGAGTGGAAGAGGCAGACATGAACAACAACCCATCGAAGCCAATGATCAAATGGAACCCTGAGGTCGATATCTGGTGGGATAAAGTGATGAAGACGGCCAGCGATTACTGTGAGCCCACTTGGCTCGACGCTGAGGATCCGCTTTTCATACTCTATACCAGGTTTTCAAACCCTTTCTCATTCTCGTTATACAACATTCACGACATTCAATACTTGTTAGGCATTTGTGATCACATTATCTTTTAGGATTCCAATGAATGATAATTAAATAACACAAATGTTTTACTTTCAAAAAGCAATATATCTAATTTTAAGTGAAAAGTAAATAACAAAAGAATTTATGAAAAAATTTTCCTCTCTTTTGAAATTTAAGTACAACAGAAGCCATAAAAAGGAAAAGTTTAGTTAAGAAAGATTGCATTAACTTATCATAAATTATTTGATTAAAGGATAAATAAAAAATAATTTTTCTTTAAAACACTTTCATTTCAATCAATAGTGAAATATTTTAAAAATCATAAAACATGGCAAACATATTATAATTCTGTGTTTTCAATGCATTTTATGCTAATAATTACCATAATTTATTAGACAATAAACACACTTATATTAAAATTTATCTAAATATGTGATTTAGCGGTAGTACTGGAAAGCCTAAAGGGGTTGTGCATACAACCGGTGGTTATATGATATACGCGGCGACAACATTCAAATATGTCTTTAATTACACCGATGAGGATGTCTTCTTCTGTACGGCCGACTTGGGATGGATTACTGGACATACGGTTAATGTTTACGGCTCTCTGGCGAACGGCACTACTATAGTGCTGTTCGAAGGAACTCCTTTCTATCCAAACCCGGGAAGACTTTGGGAAATAGTGGACGACCTCAATGTGAACATCTTCTATACGGCGCCGACAGCTATTCGTTCGCTCATGAAATTCGGTGACGAATACGTCAAGAAATACAAACGAACTTCGCTTAAGCTTTTAGGCACCGCTGGCGAGCCCATCAATCCGGAGGCCTGGTATTGGTATATGAATGTCGTGGGCAATGGCAAGTGTCCCATAGTTGACACCTTTTGGCAAACGGAAACCGTAAGAGTTTGCTAATTGAGATGTTCATTAATTATAGTAGTAATCACTGTTTGATGTATAGGCAGCACCTATGATAACACCACTGCCAGGTTGCACGCCTATGAAACCGGGTTCGGCGACGTTCCCATTCTTTGGTGTCGTTCCTGCCATAGTTAACAACGAAGGGAAGGAGTTGGAGGGGCCAGCAGTCGGACAATTAGTATTCAAGAGGCCGTGGCCTTCGATTGCGCGGACGGTTGATGGCAATCACGAGCGCTTTGAAATGACCTATTTTCACAAGTTTAGGGGTTATTTCTGTACCGGAGATGGTATGCCGTCATTGAGAAGTATATTTCCCATTAAACAACTTTAGGAGTGTTTAGGGGTGAGACGAGACAAAGACGGCTATTACTGGATTACTGGACGAACTGATGATATGCTCAACGTTTCCGGACATCTATTATCGACGGCAGAAGTGGAGTCAGCGATCGTTGGCCATAAAGCCATCGCAGAAGCGGCAGCGGTATCGACACCCCATCCCATTAAGGGTGAATGTCTCTACTGTTTCATTGTCCTTAAAAATGGATTTGAATTCAACAAAGAATTAGAGCGAGACCTCAAAAAGAGAGGTAATCTTTATTTCATTTCACATTTTCTCCATTCAATCGAAACCAAGTGTTTATTAATAAATGATTTTCTTCTCAAACGACAGCACGTGAAAAGATCGGAGCGCTGGCCGCTCCTGAGGTCATTCATCCGGTCAGTAGTCTCCCTAAAACCAGATCTGGAAAAATTATGCGAAGAATTTTGGCCAAAGTTACGAGAGATGACTGCGAGTTGGGGGACATCTCGTCGATGGCCGACGAGTCCATTCTCGACGAACTCTTCTCCACTCGACATATATATGCTTTTAATTAATGCTATCTTTTTGTCGGTATTTTCACAAAACCGATTAATTTATTCTCTATTTTAGCGAGAATTTAATTATTCTGTTTTGTCATTAAAAGGAAAAATTGTTTTTGAAATTTATTTTTAAAGTCACACAAACAGTGAGAACACATTTTCTTTCAGAATTTAGTTTTTTGTCATTTTTAGCGCTTTTTATTATTATTATTATTTTATTATTATAATTATTATTTGTCTAATTCTGTGAAGAATTAAGCAATAAATATATTGAAAACACATTCACATTACAGTCTGAATTCCTAAACACAAATTGCTAATAAATATTATCTCGTAGTGCTATAGATATGCAATATTTTTATATAAATACTATAAACCAATGCCTATAATTGTAATTCCTTGTAATATATTTCGGTATATGATATATATTTGATGGCATTCTTGCCCTTTTGTCGTGTTTCCCAAGAATAATTATTATATTTGATATTCACAGCTGAAATATATATGAAATGACATATTCTAGGCATCAATTGCCATATGAACCCAAATGTTTAGCTTCTCCAACACAATAGTCGTGTCTCTCAATCCTTTTCCATGTAATCCTTGTCTCCCATTCCCCTATTGTGTCAATTCTTGTGATTCGTTGTTTATTGGCGCTTATGTTCAGGTTTTTTATGTTTTAATAGCATTGACTATTGACGTGTATTTTTTGTAATAAAATAATTTTTCACCAAATTATACGTTGTTTTTCTGTACTCAACCATTCACTACATAATCATTTGTTTGACTTTCTTCGGTATTTCATAACTTTCTTTTTTATTCACCCTTGAAGTGCTTACAGTATACTACTATTTATTATAAACTTATTATTCACAATCATATATATAATTGGAAAATTATTTATAAACCGATCCAAACCATTGGTTCACTCTTTCAACTCTCCATCCGCTCTCGAGATTCAATATATTTCTCATTATAATGGAGTTAATGATATTTTAATGAAGTTCACAGCAAGTGCACTGAATTATCATTGAATTACTGCATAATTCAGAACAACACTCAAACTCAGTGTTTGTTTATAGAGAGAAAAGTGAAAACAATTTAAATTAATGAGCGATACGTGAGTGAAGCCAATCATAACTAATACTTAATATTTTAATTCCATATTTATTGTAAGCACTCATTAAGTGTGAGTTATAGCCCAAAGGCATCTCAACAGTTGATACCCCGGTTTCAGTGTTATTGAGGTTTTTTACCATCAGGTGCCCTAATATCTAAGTTACTGTACTTAAGCAAAGTAAGCTGTTTTCTATATGTACTCTATTACGATACTCTACTGTCGTATAGAAAAATATATGCAAAAGTATTGCAATTTAAATAAGAAGTGAAACCAGTATTGACGAGGTTTAAGGTCTGGTTGCAAAAGTAAGCTGTTTTCTATATGTACTCTATTACGATACTCTACTGTCGTATAGAAAAATATATGCAAAAGTATTGCAATTTAAATAAGAAGTGAAACCAGTATTGACGAGGTTTAAGGTCTGGTTGCAATAAAAAATAAAATATCGAAATACCCATACATTGAAATAGCTTTCGGCGATTGGAAACAAATTTTGAATAAAAAATTTATGAGGAAATTTTGCTCAAAAATAAAATGAGAAAAAATTTTACGGCAAAACTGCTTTCGTGGCATCGCTTCGACCAGCTCTGGGATGTGACCCAATAATAGCGCTCATATATTGAGGCTCTCTCTCTCTCTCTCTCTCTCTCTCCCCTTCGACTCGAATTTCAAAATTTCTCATTTAAATTCTCGTTCACATATGGGATCAGTCCTCTCGCATACACTCTCCTTCACTATCGCTATATTTATTATTATTACGCAAAGAGTTATCGATTATATTTGAGACTACATTCTTGAAACCATTTTACGGTTTTGGTGCGCGAACTAAAATATCTTTTTGTTTTATCAACAAATTTTGTGCAATATTTTAATTGCTGTCAATAAACACATTTAATTTTTGTAGAAAAATGAGTGAAATAGAGAGAGAGACGGGAAGGCTTGATGTCGACGGCGTTAACATCTATTACGAAAGAGCCGGAACTGGCGAACACGTCGTCCTCCTATTACCCGGCGTTCTCGGTATGTGTCCCTCAGCTCAACCACATCTCTATTACTATGAATGAAATTAAAACTTTGTTGCCATCTCTTTCTTATTTCCTTATTTTTTAATATTTTGTTTTATTTTTTAAGCCACACTATCATAAAGTTTTATAGTAGTGCTAAACTTTATGTTTGACTCCATATGAAAATACAGAATTTTTAATATTCTATACAGAATATATTTGTATATATTGTTTATATTATCTGTAGGGACCGTTCAAATTGAATTTAAACTCCAGTTCCAAGCCTTTGATCTCTCGAAGTTCACATTAGTGTCATGGGATCCGCCGGGATTTGGTTTGAGTCGACCCCCGGAGAGGATTTACAACAACTGTTACATCAGAGATGGAGATTTAATCGTCAAATTCATGAAAGCTTTGGGTTATGAGAAGTACAGTATTATGGGGTTCAGTGACAGCGGCCGGACATCTATGATATTGGCGGCCAGGTATCCAGAAGTGATGAGGAAGTTAGTGATTTGGGGTACCTGTGCCTTCATCGGCGACAAAGAGAAGAAGACATTAAGTCTGTGCAAAGACGTCGCCGGTTGGAGTAATGACAGGAAGAATATCTTCGAACCCGTCTATAAGGAGGACCTGCAGATGGTTTGGGGAAATTGGGTTGACTTTAACAACAGACTCCAGGACTTCGCCACTCCATACTTAAAGGACATAAAATGTCCGACATTTATACTTCACGGTGAGAGCGATATCGTCACTCCTATGGAACCGCACGCGATGTACCTCAAGAAGAACATATCGGGCGCTCGACTCGTCATATTCCCGAAGGCTCCCCATACCTGCCACCAGGAAAAGGCCTCTGATTTCAAATGCAACCAGACCTTAAACCTCGTCAATACTGGTTTCACTTCTTATTTAAATTGAAATACTTTTGCATATATTTTTCTATACGACAGTAGAGTATCGTAATAGAGTACATATAGAAAACAGCTTACTTAGCTTAAGTACAGTAACTTAGATACTAGGGCACCTGATGGTAAAAAACCTCAATAACACTGAAACCGGGGTATCAACTGTTGAGATGCCTTTGGGCTATAACTCACACTTAATGAGTGCTTACAATGAATATGGAATTAAAATATTAAGTATTAGTTATGATTGGCTTCACTCACGTATCGCTCATTAATTTAAATTGTTTTCACTTTTCTCTCTATAAACAAACACTGAGTTTGAGTGTTGTTCTGGATTACGCTGTAATTCAATGATAATTCAGTGCACTTGCTGTGAACTTCATTAAAATATCATTAACTCCATTATAATGAGAAATATACTGAATCTCGAGAGCGGATGGAGAGTGAAAAGAGTGAACCAATGGTTTGGATCGGTTTATAAATAATTTTCCAATTATATGATTGCGAATAATAAGTTTATAATAAATAGTAGTATACTGTAAGCACTTCAAGGGTGAATAAAAAATAAAGTTATGAAATACCGAAGAAAGTCAAACAAATGATTATGTAGTGAATGGTTGAGTACAGAAAAACAACGTATAATTTGGTGAAAAATTATTTTATTACAAAAAATACACGTCAATAGTCAATGCT